TATTACTATTACTATTATTATTGTTATTGTTATTATTATTATCATTATTATTATTATTATTATTATTATTATTATTATTACTGTGCCACTCACTTATATGTTCATCGACGAAAGCTTTGACAAAGTTCTGGATAGTGCGGTTATCAGGCACTTGTGGCCGTAGTTGAGGTTGTGATGAGGAGAAGTTGAGTTCACCTTGAATAGAAAAAAACAAAGGACAATCAGTTCAAGTGAAAAGCTATAAGGAAATGCCAACCTTTCCAATGATTAACACAAACAAAATAGCCATGGCGTTCTGCGGTATACTCACTGACGTATTCATCCACATAATCCTTTACAAAGGTCTGGATTGTGCGGTTATTAGGTGGTTGTGGTTGCGACGAAGAAAGGTTGAGACCGTCTTAAATAGAAAAGCAGCAAAGGGGAATCCATGTTACAATGAGTTAAATATAATCGACCGAAGTGAACAGTTTCTTTAAAGATTAAAACAAATAATACAGTCAGGTTATACAAACCTATATACTCGTCCACATAATCCCTAACAAAACTCTGGATTGTGCGATTATCAGGTCCTAGTTGCGCTTGCGGGGAGGTAAGATTGAGGTAATCTTAAACAGAAAAAAGAAATACAAAATCCAGGAGAAGGAATGTCGTAAATAATAAACTCATTTAAAGATTAAAGCAGAAAAATAATGTCGGGCTACATGCCGCAGTATGCCCACCTAGGTACTGGTCTACATATGCCTCGGCAACTTCCTGGATAGTACGGTTATTCGGCGATAGTAGTCGTGGCTTTGATGAGGAAAGATTGAGTCCATCTTAAACAAAAAAATTCAGAAACAACTAGACGATCAAAAGGGATGCTACAATCTAAGAAATGTTTTAATTTGTTCAACAATAAGCAATTCAGACAAGTGGCTTACCACAGGATACCCACCTATATACCTATCAACATAAGCTTCCACAAACTTCTGGATCGTGCGATTATTAGACGGTTGTAGTTGCGGTAGTGACGAAGAAACATTGTGCGCATCTTAAAAAAAAGAAAGAGTAGTTGACTGGGAGGAATAAAATAATATATAAGTATTTGAAGACTATCAAAGCAATTAGACCACGTCTAGTGTACTTACCTAGATAAGCTTCTACAAAACTCTGGAGGGTTCTGTTGTTTGGCGGTTGTGGTGATTGTAAGGAAGAAAGATTGAGTTCACCTTGAATAGGGAAAGAAAGCATGTCCAAGTGAAAAGGTGTCGTAACCTTAGAAAAAATGTAACCTTGCATTCATACGACCTTTTACAGTATGCTTACCGACGTATTCATCCACATAATCTTTTACAAAGTTCTGAATAGTGCGGTTATCTGGCAGTACGTGTGGTTGCATTTGTGGCGAGGAAATATTCAGTCCGCCTGAAAGAAAAATATTGAGTGGTATCAGCATTTATCAGCATTTATCAGTATATAATATCAAAAATATATACTTCAATCAGGCGAGCGTGGTTGTGGTTTTGGCGAAGAAAGGTCGAGCCCAGCTGAAAACAAGGCATCAAAAAATTTTGAAATAATGAGATGGGTTAGAAAGGTGAGATGTAGATTTAGCCTAAAATAATTAAATCAAAGATACGGTCATGTGGTATAACACAGGATACCTACCCACATACTCGTCTACGTAATCCTTTACAAAGTTTTGAACAGTGCGGTTATCCAGTGGCTGTGGTTGTGTTTGTGACGAGGAAAAGTTAAGTCCACCTTAAATCAAAGAAAACACAGAGAAATGAAGTCAACGTAAAAGTTTTCGATAATCGTAGAAAAAAACATCGAGGGATGCACACGAAACATAAATGTTGCATGCCACAGGATACCTACCCACATAATCATCGACATAACCCATCACAATGTCCTGGATGGTGCGGTTATCTAGAAGCTGTGGTCGCATTTCTGATGAGGTTAAATTGAGTCCATCTTGAAAGACATATAGGTAAGAGACATTCAGCAGGGAGAATATTATAAACTTAGCAGATAAAAACTTGTTCAAGGATTTAATTGATAACACATATAATGGTCAGCTTGGATACCACAGCATACCCACCTACAAACGTCTCTACATAATCCTTAACATAGCTCTGGATAGTACGGTTTTCAATAGTTGGTGATTGCGACTGTGGCGAGCTGATATTAAGACCATCTTTAAAGGAAAAAGGAAAGAAAAATGTGGGTGAAGCGACGTTAGAATTTTGGAGCGATAAACTTGTTAAAAATTTAACACAAATAACACCGTCAGTCCTATGCAACAGTTTGTTACGCGATTTATTGGCACAAGTAAACCTTAGAAAAGTTCTATTTACTAAGGTTACCAGTATTGATTAGTTCAGTGTGATTGCAGTCGAGCAGAATTCATCTAACGTGTCAGAAAGCAACAAAAACAAAGTTGCACACACCCACATACTCATCCACATATTCCTTTACTAAGTTCTGGATAATGCGGTTATCAAGCGGTCGAGGTTGTGACTGTGACGAGGAAAAGTTAAGTCCACCTTAAATCAATAAAAATACATAGAAAAGAAGTCAGCGTCAAACGATTTCGATAAATGGAGTTCTTTTAACATTGAGTACTGCAAGCGATGCAGACATGTTGCATGCCACAGGATACCTACCCGCATACTCGTCGACATAATCCATTACAATGTTCCGGATAGTGCGGTTATCTAGAAGTTGCTGTCGCATCTCTGATGAGGTTAAATTGAGTCCAACTTAAAAAAAGAAAATAAAAAGACATTCAGCAGGGAGGATATTATAACCTCAGCAGATAAAAACTAGTTCAAAGATTTAATTAATAACCCAAATAATGGTCAAGTTGGATACCACAGCATACCCACCTACAAACTTCTTGACATAAGCCTTAACATAGCTCTGAATAGTGCGGTTTTCAGTGGTTGGTGATTGTGGTGAGCTGATATTTAGACCATCTTCAAGGAAAAAAGGAAAGAAAAACGTGGGTGAAGCGATGTTATAGTGTTGGAACTATGGAACTTGTTAAAATTTAACACAAACAACACTGTCAGTGCCATGCCGCAGTTTGCTAAGTGATTTATTAGCACAAGTAATTCTTGAGAAAGTTCTAGGTGCGACGGTTACCAGTATTGATCAGTTCAGTATGACTGCAGTTGTGAAGAGTCCATCCAGCGTGCAAAAAAGTAACAACAAAAAAAATGGCATGACAAAGTTGTACGTACCCACATACTCATTCACAAAATCCTTTACAAAGTTCTGGATAGTTTGGATATCAGTCCTCTGTGATGAGGAAATATTGAGTGCAACTTGATTGAAGAAAGAGAACAAAATATATAAGAGAACATACTTACAAATTCAAGTCATAACAAAACAGTACCATACGTGACTTGGAAATGTATATTACTCACCCACGTACTTGTCTACGTAAACCTTTACAAAGTTCTGAATAGTGCGGTTATCAGGCGGTCGTGCTTTCGGCTGTGATGAGGAAATATTGAGTGCACCTTGAAAGTAAGAGAACAGAACATCCACGTGAGAGGGTATTTCTTGGAGTATACTTAGATATTCAGTATTTAGATAGCAGTACACTCACGTGACTTGTGAAAGTTTACCCACCCACATAGTTGTCTACAAAATCTCTTACAAAGCTCTGGATAGTATGGTTACCAGGCAGCTGCAGTTGTGCTAGTGATAAGGTCACATTGAGTCCACCTTGAAAGGAAAAAGAGAGAAGTGAGAACTGCAAAGCGCTATTAGACAACCATGGAAATAGCGCTTTATCAATAGACCCAATAAAGCATTACTTTTAAAGAATTGAAAGTGTGCCCTAGTACAATTTTAGATAAAGGAAAATTGCTCCAAAATACCAACATGTGTAATAAGTCAAGTGGCAAAAGAGCGGTTTTTAACTGAGTGTC